TTTAGTAGCCCGGCCCATTAGCAAATTTAATGGTGGTCATTTTAGGCAGGGAGGGCAGAAAGAGCAAAATTGCAGGAGGGAGAAGGCGGGCAGAGGAAAGCAAGGAGACAAGGGCAGGAGACTCTTCCACCCATTCCTCATGCCCACATACAACACACACAGAGTGGGCAGCTGATGGCAGGGGCTGATGGGAGGGGAGGGAAAGACAGTAATCTTTGGAACTCTGAACTCGTGATAAGGTCTTGGTTTTAAAACAAAACCAAAAACACCTGCTGGTAGCTCTGTCAAGTACCATTAGAAGAGGAGGCTGGACTTTGGTGCTCAGATTAAAACACACTCATGACTCACTGGTGTGGGGGGCACTTTCTATGGGGGACAAGTAAGTGCTGGGCTACTCTGCATAAATCTCTGTCCCAAGGTTACACGGACAAATGTCTCTGATCAGTGGGCCCCTGCCCCATGGGGACAATTGTCCAGGGCTCCAGGGAAGAGGAGGAGCAGAACACCTCTCAGAAATGGAGTCAGGTTGTCCTGACTGGATTCAGATTGTTGTATGGTCAGCTATTGGCTGCATAACCTTGGGCAAGTGATGTCACCTGCAATGAGCCTTAGTGAAGACGGTAACAGTGATAATGTATAATGTGGGCCTTTCCTGTGGGTGTGACTAGGGTTACTACTCAGGTGACATGCATAGAGGGAGTGCTCTTAGCCCAGTGCCCAGCTAGTAGAAAGTGCTGGGTACCTGGTGAGTGACTCCACATCAGTTCACTTCAGGCTCCACCTGGAGTTTCTCCCCTCGCTAAATACAGGAAGACCTTGGTGACTGTTTGGAGCTGCTGCCTTCTCCCTTGGTGTCCCCTTGGAACATTCTTCTTCTTCTTCTTTTTTTTTTTTTTTTTGAGACAGAGTCTCACTCTGTAGCCCCAGGCTGGAGTGTAGTGGCAAGATCTCGGCTCACTGCAACCTCCACCTCCTGGATTCAAGTAATTCTCCTGTCTCAGCCTCCCAAGTAGCTGGGATTACAGGCGCCTGCCACCACGCCCAGCTAATTTTTGTATTTTTAGTAGAGACAGGGTTTCACCATGTTGCCGACCATGTTGCCAGACCAAGCTGGTCTTGAACCCCTGACCTCAGGTGATCCACCCTCCTCGGCCTCCTAAAGAGCTGGGATTATAGGCGTAAGCCACCGCGCCCGGCCTGGCACCTGCTTCTATGTCTCTTGTGGTCCGCATCCGAATCTCTGCCAAATGACCCTGTGGCCCATATCCTATGTCTCCACCTTGTCAAGGGCACATCCCTCAGCCCAAGTTGTTCTAGAACAAAAGAGGTGTGACAAACAAGAGGGCCTGAAGCTGCCTGGAACCCTCTGGGAGAGAAACCAGCTTTTCAGCTTCGTGGCCTTGCCACGGACCACTGGGGCTTTCTCAACCACCGATCCTACCCGACTTAAGCTGCTTGCTCAGTTCCTGTTTCACAAAGAAATAAGGAAGTGAAGAGATGGGCCGGCCTCTGGGCAAAGGCTAGCTGGGTAGGGGTTTGGGGAGCACCTCCCCATCCTGGCTGTGACGAGCCATGAGGGGCAGGAACGGACAAGGAGGAAACAATTGCTACTGAATCTTTCACATTTCTTTTTTTTTTTGGTGCCAAGAGTGCCCAACCACTGATTTGAGGAAGCAGCCAGTGAGTTGGTAAAATTCACTGCTGACGTGGTTTAGCTGGCTGAAGAGTAGCCAGCCCAGCCCCTTCTGAGGTCCCAACTCACACACAGCTGGAACCAGTTGACTGGCAAATGAGCAAAGGTTGACTTAGTTATTTAAAAAAATGAACTGTTAAGTGCTTCACACCTGTAATCCCAGCACTTTGGGAGGCCAAGGTGGGAGGATTGCTTGAGGCCAGAAATTTGAGACCAGCCTAGGCAACATAGAGAGACACCATATCTACAAAATAAAAATTAAAAAAAAAAATTAATCGGGCATGGTGGTGCATGCCTGTAGTCCTAGCTACTCAGGAGACTGAGGTGGGAGGAGCGCTTGAGCCCAGGAGTTCAAGGTTATAGTGAGCTATGATGGCGCCATTGCACTCCAGCTTGGGTGACAGAGCAAGACCCTCTCTCTAAAAATAAAAAACAAAAAAACAAAAGGACGATTTGTGTATGTACGTATCTACCTATCATCTTACCTATGCACTTTTCTATTCGGATTTGAAGCTTGAAGGAACGTAGCTCAACACTGCCAGCACCATTGTTGTCATAGCTGTGTGACCTCCAACAGGTCTCCTTGGGTCTCAGTGGGTCATTAGAGGCAGTAAGGGAGTGACAGAAGCACACACTGAAAGCAAGAGCGGAGCCATTGAAGAGCTGAGTCAGTATGCTGCGATTTAGTCCTTGCTCTGGCCCCAACGGACTGTGTGACCTTGGGCAAGTCCCTTCCTCTTCCTGGGTTGCTGTTGAAGTTTCCCCATCTGTACACTGAAAGGACTGCACCAGGGTTTTGTGTGTGTGTGTGTGTGTGTGTGTGTGTGTTTGGTCATGGAGCTCCTATTCAGGATTGGCTCTGGAATTTTGGGGGCCTTGTGCAAAATGAAAATGCCCGGTGCCCCTTGCTTAAAATTATCGAGAATTTTGAGACACTGACAGGCGAGCATTAAACCAAGCATGGGGCCCTTCTAAGCACAAAGAGGGAATGCACAGGTCCTACACCCATGAAGCTGGCCCTGCAACTACTTCAAGTACAATTTTATGGGAAGCCCATCAGGGCTACTTCGTGCAGCAGCTGTTTTCCTCGACAGCCCCTGTGGTGTTTCTGAGGCATCTCAGGCTCCTGGGAGCATAGTTGGAGAGACATAAACTAGATGTTTGCTCCAGAGCCTTTCTAGTTTCGACTATTTATATATAAAACTTGGATCCCAGACCTTTTTCTTACCTACCTGCAAAGTTGAAGCTGAGTTGAACTCGTGCTGGGCAAATAACAGCAATATCATTTCTTGTCTGTGTGGCTTCCTGGTTTAGAGTGCTGCCACATCCGGGTCTCATGAGCTTCTCACTGTAACCTCACCAAGAAGGCAGTATGGGAGATTCCAGAAGGGATAACTGAAGACCAGAGAGAAGTGACTTGCCCAAGGCCACACAGCTGGCACAAGTGGGACTCAAATCCCAGAATCTTAACTCCTAGGAAAAGGGGCTTTTCCACATGGCCCACTCCCCAGGCAATCAGCAGGCGAGGAGAGGTTTGCTAAGCCCCATCCTCCAACATTAAAACAAAGTACTAGAGCCCAAGGGGACAGTTCCTAATGATCTTTCATTCCTAACGATGTCACAAGAGTCCCTGTGTATCAGCCCTGGTGTATGTGCCCTGAATGTTTTCCTGCCTGACCTAGAGTTAACCCCTTAAAGCAGGAATGGTCAAGGCTGGCCATCTGGGTCCCAGGGGAGGGAGGAGCTGTGATGACTGTGAGCCCTCGTTCCAGCCACGTTCCAGGGCTGGGTTCTTCCTCCCAGAATGGTAAGCTGGAAGGGGCAGTTAAGGGGAATCAGAGATGAGGTGGAGTCCTGGGTCTCGCACTGAGGAAAAAAGCACATGAGCTGCCTCGGGCCAAAAGGCCTGTGTGAGGGTGTTGGTCAGGTGCCTGGTCTTGCCACCCATGACCTGCCAGAACCCCAGGAGCAAGTGTCAGCGTACAAAGGGAAAGGTCTGGCAGGGTCTGGGGAGGCATTATGGTGTGGATCTGCTTCTCACCAGCGGTGTGATCCTGCTTGAGCCTCAGTTTTCCCATCAGTAAAATGATGAAAGCCATACCACTCGCCCTTTATTTTATTATTATTATTATTTTTTGAGACGGAGTCTTGCTCTGTTGCGCAGGCTGGAGTGCAGAGGCACGATCTCAGTTCACTGCAACCTCCGCCTCCTGGGTTCAAACGATTCTCCTGCATCAGCCTCCCGAGCACCTCGGACTATAGGTGTGTGCCACCACGCCCAGCTAATTTTTGTATTTTTAGTAGAGACGGGGTTTCGCCGTGTTGCCCAGGCTGCTCTCGAAATCCTGGCCTCATGTGATCCTCCCATTTCAGCCTCCCAAAGTGCTGGGATTACAGGAGTGAGCCACCACACCTGGCCAGGACTCGCCCTTTCTTGAGAGTGGATTCTAGAGTCCTCTGACTGGTTTAAATCTGGCTTTTTTCATTTACCTAATGAAAAAAGTGACTTAGAGCCACTCTCTATGGGCCTCACTGAGTTCCCTCACTTGTAAAATGGGAATAAGTAAAGGCCCTTCTCAGAGGTTGTGAGGATTAAATGAGAAGATGCATGGAAAGCTTCTTGCATGGTGGCACATAAACACTCAGTAAATGGTAGCCATGATCATGATGATGGTGATGATGATGAAGGTGATGATGACTTTAAGTCTATTAGTAGTCCCTGTCTGTGTGGGGTTAGCAGGTGAGGGAGCAAATGACTTAGCAAACAGAGGCTCATCTTTGGGTACTCAGTAAGGCTTGGTCAGGGCTGGGGCCTCTGGATGCAAGCATTGGTGATGGTAACCATCACAGGTCACCCTCACCCTCAGCAGACTAGGCCTGATGGTTCCAGGCCAGGAGACTTTTCTGCCTGGTGCCTTTGCCTGGCACCCTGCACCCAGAACCTTGGGTCTTTCCTTCCACCAACTGTGCGCTGCTTGGCAAAGGTGCTAGCCCCAACTTTTCTGGACTACATTTGACAAGTTTACCAGTGTAGGGCTCCTTTCTCTCCCCTCCACAAGGTTACAATACCTTTTTAGCACAGGCTGGAGGTTGGCTGATTGGGCGTGGTGTGCACGTGCATCTGTGCACATGCGCACACATACTCACATGCATGCCCCCACACACACTCTCAAGCCCACGTGCTCCCCTGCTGAGCTTCTAGGAGCCTCATGTCCCCACCCCCACTGCACCCTCTCTTCTTCCTCCCCCACCACAAAAGCCACAGGTGACAGCAGTCTCTGGCAACACAGCAGACACAAGGCAAAACCCAGAGGCAAGTGTCTTTGTTAGACTGTTTTGAACGTCTTAGCAGGATGTGGACCCAGGTGGCTAACGGCCAATTTGGCCGGAGCAAATTCTTCTCACCACAGTGGGTTCAGAGAATGAGGAGAGGGCTGGGAGGTGGGCTCAGGGACTCTGCATGATGCTGAAGGGTGAAAGAGCTGGAGTGCCGGTTCATCTGGCCCCATCAGCTCTCAACCAAATGTATGTGTCCTTGGGCAAAACCCATCCCCTGTCTGAAGCTCAGTTTTCCTGTCTGTAAAATGGAGAAACCAGATACTGTCCACACAACGTGAAGGGGCATCCAAGAATGTGGGAGGATTTAACAGCATTGTAGCTGTGGCTGCACTTTGGAAAGTTCAAAGGGCTCCTTGAATGCCAGGGAAGTCTAGAATAGTGACGCGCTCCGGCTGCCCAAGTTTGTTTTCCAACCTCTGGTAGAGTCATATTCCAGAGTGCCTCGCCGCATTCCCTCCTACTCCACAGCCAAATTCCTGTGGCTTAACTCCCTCTGCTGTTACTTGGCATAGAGCCCACCCAGGGTTTAGGAATGATGGGTTCACATGTTGGGGGGTTGCTGTTTCATGCCCTGACTGGGTGGGAAAAGCTCTGGCTATACCCAACAGGTGGTGGTAGGTTTGGACTCTCCTGGGACCATGGCACCCTGGGGTGGTAGGGGCATTGCTCTCTTGGGGTTTTGTTTGGCGGGAGGGGAGCAGCTGTAGCAATCTGTGTTAGGTTATAGGTTAGGCCTACTGAGATCACAGGAGAGAAGAGACCAGCTGGCTTTCCTATCTCGGGGCCTGGGGTTAGGAGCCCAGGGTGCAGTATACAACCCCGGGGTGCAGGGAGGTATCGTCTGGGGCCAAGAAGCCCTGTGTTCCTGGGGCCTGGTCTTGGAGAAGGAGGATGAATGCAAAGGTTTCCAGGTGATGGGCCAGCAGGGACCCTTGGGGTATGTTCGGTGCAGGGTGAGGGCATCTAAGCAAGGGAGCCCCCCATCTAGATGGAGGGTTACCAGGGTAGTCTGGAGCCTCTAGACACTCCAGCCGAGGATGGCAAGAGTGGAGACCACTAACACAGAGGCCCAGGAGGCGGTGTCCGGGGCCCTGGCGGCCAGGGGCTCTGTGTGCTGTTGAAGCCACTTGAACTCCTCCAGCAGCTGGCGCCTCTGCAGCTCTGGACCCACCTTCTCCCGGATGGTCTGGTAGTAGCGATTCAGGTACTGGAGCTGCGAAGGATAGAAGGGGTGAGAGCCTCTCCAAGCCAAGCTGCCAAGAGGTGAAATCTTGGTGACACCCAATCCCCTGCTGTGGTACTCCAGCTGTCACCATGGTCCAGATTGTCACAGGTCCCCCACCATCATCAGGACTCAGGAATTCTCTGGGGCTTTCCAGAGGCAGTTCCCCTCGGTGGCTGTTTCATGTCATGGTGATGTTCATGGGTGGTGGGGTGGGTAGATTTCAGGCCCGGTAATGGGAGAAAGCTGGGCAGGCATTCTTATCCTCCGCTTACAAAATAGGAGACTGAGGCGAAAGAATGGAAGGGATCACTTATAGTTCCAGGCCTTGTAGTGGCTGAGCTCAGAGGCCCAATCTCAGACCCCTCCAGTTATTCACTACCTGGGGTTGGGCAGGCTGGTCTGACTGGAAAGTTCTAGAAGCTCTGGGGTCTCTGATGAGCTGGGGAGGAATGCCCTAGTGTGTGTCTGCAGGTGCCACCAGTGTGGACCCTCCTGGGGGAGGTGAAGGGACAGAGGATGTGGTGGCAGGTAGCAGAGGCAGGAAAGGCCCAGGGTCAGGGAGAAGGCAATGCTGAGGGGCACTCACATGCTCAGGAGACAGCAGGCTGACATCGATGAGGTTCCGGTCATAGGGCACAAATGATACCACCTCAAAGGTCAGGTAGCTCCCTGGGTACTGGGAGTCCACAAGAGAAGGCAGGTAAGCAGGACAGTGAGGGAGGAGGAGGAGCTGGGCTGAAGGGAAGGAGGGAGCACTCCACCCAGAGGACACAGGGAGCTGGGCTTCATCAACCCTGGACACTCTGGGTAGATCTGAGCCTTCTAGAGTCCCTTCTCTTCGCCAGCCCCCTTGTCTGCCACTTAGTGCTCCACCTTTGGTGCTTCCCTCCTGATTCTGGAAATTTAGACTTGAAGTATGCACATCAACAGCACTTAGGGAGCATGATAAATATGCAGATTTCAGGGCCCACCTCCCAAACCTACTGGAGGCAGAATCCTTAGGGCAGGGCCCAGAAATTTAAATTTCAATTATTTTATTTTATTTTTTTGAGATAGGATCTCCCTCTGTTACCCAGGCTGCAGTGCAGTGACGTGATCACAGCCCCCTGCAGCCTCTACCTCCTGGGCTCAGGTGATCCTTCTACCTCAGCCTCCCAAGTAGCTGGGATTATTGATGGGCACCACCACACCCAGATAATTTTTGTATTTTTTGTGGAGATGCAGTTTCACCATGTTGGCCAGACTGGTCTTGAACTCCTAAGCTTAGGTGAACCGCTCACCTCAGCTTCCCAAAATGCTGGGATTACAGGCATGACCCACCATGCCCGGCTGATCTGATGGTTTTATAAGACAGTTTTCCCTGCTCTTGCTAGTTCTCTCTTTCCTGCCACCATGTCAAGATCCTTGCTTCCCCTTCGCCTTTTGCCATGATTGTAAGTTTCTTGAGGCCTCCCCTGCCATGTGGAACTATGAGTCAATTAAACCTCTTTCCTTTAAAAATTACCCAGTCTTGGGTAGTATCTTTATAGCAGTGTGAGAACAGACTAATACGCCAGTTTCTACAAAAAAATACAAAAGTTAGCTGAGCATGGTGGTGTCCATCTATAGTCCTACTTATTTGGGAGGCTGAGGTGGAAGGGTGGGAGGATCACCTGAGCCCAGGAGGTCGAGGCTGCAGTGAGCTGTGATCGTGCCACTGCACTCCAGCCTGGGCAACAGAGTGAGACCCTGTCTCTAAAAATAAAAGAGGTCGGGTGCGATGGATGGCTCACGCCTGTAATCCCAGCACTTTGGGAGGCCGAGGTGGGTGGATCATTTGAGGTCAGGAGTTCAAGATCAGCCTGACCAACATGGTGAAACCCCGTCTCTACTAAAAATACAAAAATTAGTAGGGCATGGTGGTGAGTGCCTGTAGTCCCACCTATTTGGGAGGCTGAGACCACAAAAGATGTAGAGGAGAACCTCTATCAATTCATTTATAATCTCAGGGTAGAAAAGAGTCTTTCTGTGCAAGACCAGAAGCCGTGAAGGAAAAGATTAATAACTCTGACTAAACTAAATAGAAAATGGAAACAATGTTTATGGAAACAATGCCATAAACAAAGCCAAGAGATGTGTGACAAATATAGCACATATCACAGAGAGAGGGTGAATTTTCTTATTTACCATGAGCTTTTACAAATCCATAAGACAAAAATAGGCAAAACAGGAAAAAATAGAGCGAAGGACATGAAAAGGCAATTCACTAAAATTAACACCAAATAGTCCACATACATGTGGAAAGATGCTCAAGTCCATCCTTAAAGAAATATAAGGCTGGGTGTGGTGGCTCATGCCTGTAATCCTAACGCTTTGGGAGGCCGAGGCTGGTGGATCACCGGAGGTCGGGAGTTTAAGACCAGCGTGGCCAACATGGTGAAACCCCATTTCTAATAAAAATACACAATTTAGCCGGTCATGGTGGTGCGTGCCTGTAATCCCAGCTACTCGAGAGGCTGAGGCAAGAGAATCACTTGAACCCGGGAGGCAGAGGTTGTGGTGAGCCAAGATCTCGCCACTGCACTCCAGCCTGGGAGAGGGAGACTCCATAAAAAAAAAGAAAAGAAATACAAATCAAAACAACAATAGCATACCATGTTTCGCCTATCAGATTGGCAAAAATTAGTGACTTTGGTGATTCTCAGTGCTAGTGAGTATGTGAGGAAATGGGCACTCTCACACACTGTTGGAGAAAGTACAACCGGTGCAACCTTTCTGGAGGGCAGTTTGACAATATCTATCAAATTACCTATTAAAAATGCTTGTACTTTTTGTCTCTGAAATCCCGACACCAGATATGTACCTTCTGGATATAGTCCCAAAAGCTCACCAAGATGTTTATACAGTGATGTTGATTTGTAGCATTGATGGTAAATATAGTAAAAATTTGGAAACAGCCTCAATATCCACGGCTGGTTAAATAAACCATGGGACAGCCACATACTGTTGTTGTGGCTCTTCCACAACCCTTAAAAAGAATGAGGTAGGTCTCCCTGCGCTATTGTAGAGCACTCTTCTAGGTTTACTATTAAGTAAGGGGCAGCCGGGCAGGAAAGGAAGATGCAGAAAAGTATGTATGGTAGAATCCATTTTGTGTGAATTTTCAAAATATATACATAGATAGATACATATGCTGTGTGTGCCTGAAATGTTCTCAGGAAGGAAACTGAGCAAGAAAGATACTTTTTTCCCCTTCTCTTTTCTTTCTTTCTTTTTTTCTTTTTCTTCTTCTTTTTTTAGAGACAGAGTCTCGCTCTGCCAGCCAGGCTGGAGGGCAGTGGTGCGATCTCGGCTCACTGCAACCTCCACCTCCCGGGTTCAAGCGATTCTCTTGTCTCAGCCTCCCGAGTAGCTGAGATTACAGGCACGCACTACCATGCCTGGCTATTTTTTGTATTTTTTAGTAGAAATGGGGTTTCACCATGTTGGCCAGGCTGGTCTGGAACTCCTGACCTCAAGTAATCTGCTCACTTTTGCCTCCCAAAGTGTTGGGATTACAGGTGCCTGGCCCTGATTTGTATTTTTTTGTTTGTTTGTTTTGAGACAGAGTTTTGCTCTTGTTGCCCAGGCTGGAGTACAATGGCATGATCTTGGCTCACCGCAACCTCCACCTCCTGGGTTCAAGTGATTCTCCTGCCTCAGCCCCCCGAGTAGCTGGGACTACAGGCATGCGCCACAGCACCCAGCTAATTTTGTATTTTTAGTAGAGATGGGGTTTCTCCATGTTGGTCAGGCTGGTCTGGAACTCCTGACCTCAGGTGATCCACCTGCCTCGGCCTTCCAAAGTGTTGGGATTACAGGTGTGAGCCACTGCGCCTAGCCTTGTATTTCTTTAAGAATGAACTTGAGCATCTTTCCACATGTATGTGGACCATTTGGTGTTAATTTTAGTGAATTGCCTTTTCATGTCCTTTGCCCTATTTTTTCCTGTTTTGCCTATTTTTGTCATATGGATTTGTAAGAGCTCATGGTAAAATAAGAAAATTCACCCTCTCACAATGCCATAAACAAAGCCAAGAGATATTTGTCACACATCTCTTGGCTTTGTTTATGGCATTGTTTCCATAAACATTGTTTCCATTTTCTATTTAGTCAGAGTTATTAATCTTTTCCTTCATGGCTTCTGGTCTTACACAGAAAGACTCTTTTCCACCCTGAGATTATAAATGAGTTGATAGAGGTTTTCCTTTACATCTTTTGTGGTCTCATTGCTCACCTTAAAACTTTGGTCCATCTGGAATTTTATTTTGGAGGTTATTCAGTTTAATCCCCCCAAATGATTAGCCATTTGTTCCCCCTGTCCATTTGCTGAATAATCATTTTTTTCTTACTGTTTTGCAAAATCGGCTTTCTTGTAAACTAAATTCCCATGTTGTTTATGGAAATAAGAGAGTTTATTTCTGGACTAATTGTTCTGTTTCATTGTTACAGCTGTCTATTTCATCTCCAGTGTCATACTATTTTAGTTGTGGTAGTTTGTGTTCAAATTTGAGAGAGCTGGCTTTTCTTATTGCTTTTTTTTAGATGGGGTTTTGCTCTGTCACCGAGGCTAGAGTGCAGTGGCGTAATCACGGCTCACTGCAGCTTCAACCTCCCTAGGCTCAGATGATCCTCCCACCTCAGCCTCCTGAGTAGCTGGGTCTACGGGTACATGACCCCATACCCAGCTAATTTTTTTTTTTTTTGTATTTTTCGTAGAGATGGGGTCCTGCCATGTTGCCCAGGCTGGTCTCAAACTCCTGAGCTCAAGCAATCATCCTGCCTTGGCCTCCCAGAGTGCTGGGATTATAGGCATGAGACACTGCACCTGGCCCTGCTCTTCTTTTTCAGAATTTTCCTAGCTATCTTCGCATGTTTATTTTTACAAATAAACTTTACTATCATTTTGTGAAGTTACAAAAATATCCAGTTAGCATTGGAATTGAGGTTGTGTTGAATTTATAGATTAATTTAGAGATAAATGATATCTTCATAATATTGAGGCTTCTCTCCAGAGAGCACCATTTACTTAAATCTTTTTTATGTCCCTTAGTAGAGAGTTTCTCCATGTAAGCCTTTTCAAGTTTACATCTAGGTATTTTATCTTGTTGGCTGCTATTATACAGAATCTTTATTTCTAACAAGTTCCCCTGGCGATTATTATGTGCATTGAGAACCAATGATATAGGGCAGGGATAATGATTCACTTGGTCTGGAGTGGGGCCTGGGCATGGGCATTTAAAACATGAGAAAGCTCTCTGGGTGATTCAAATGTGCAAGTGAGTTTGAAAAGTCTGACTTATGGAATTCCTAAGGAAGACTCCAAATAAATTCATGCCTGCACACTAAATGTCCTCCTTTGATCTTCCTTCCCAAACCTTTCCTCCCATGCAGCCCAAAGTCACTAACGTGCTGCCCACACCTCCAGCCCATCCTGGTGGCAGTTTACCTTGGTCTTTGCTTCTACCACGAGAGCCACGTCTTCGAGACGGATCCCAAATTCTCCATCCTTATAGTAACCAGGTTCTGGGAGACACAGAGATGCTGGTGGCATTAAGCCGGGAGAGGGTCCAAGCCCAGGCTTTCTGTACCTACTGATGAGTGGCTGGAGGGACTGGCTGCCTGGCTGTCCCCTGGCTGTTCCCTGGCTGTTGATTCTGGTAGCCCCACAACTGGTTAGATGCTTGGCTAAGCAGAGGCAACTCATCCCTGTCAGGCCTCAGATCCCCTACAGGGGCATCTGTGACTCACCCTCTCTTCCCTGTAGCCCAGCAGGGAAGACCTAAAAACCCACTTGGGTCCTGAAGGTACTCCCATCTCTCTGGATGCCACTGTCCTGTTACTCCAGCATTTGGCAACTCCAGAGTCTGGATATACCACTGGGTCTACAGCCATACCACCCTGAACGCGCCTGATCTCGTCTGAATATATAGCTGGGAATCAACTCCCAAGGGCAAAAAGATGGTCTGGGCTGAGAGGAGCTGGGGTTAGGGTGGGACAAGTCATTTGGGGCTGGGTGTAGGGGTGGGAATGGGGAGGTGAGTCCTGAGCTGTACTACTGCCTGCTGTGCTCCTCTGAAGGCTGGTATACCCTAGACTGCAGTTCTGGGCTAGCCCTGCTCTGGGATGGGGTGGTGAGGTAGAGGGGCCTGAGGGCCATACCAATGGAAGTGAACATGCCCTTGGCCATGGCGATGTTGTTGGACTGGAATCCCACTGGCCCTAGAAAGGAAGACATAAAGATGGTATTAGTTATCCTATACTCACCAGCTTGGAAGTGAGCAGCTTCCAAGGAAGAGCAGGTAAGTGAGGATCCCGGAGCATCTCTACGAGCACAGGTCCATTACATCATTGTCTGCCTGGGCCTGGCACACACCAGATTGGCTCTGGCTTTTATTATTTATTTAGGTATTGAGGGGGTCTTGCTGTGTTGCCCAGGCTGGAGTGCAGTGGCGCCATCATGGCTCACTGCAGCCTTGACCTCCTGGGATCCTCCCACCTCAGCCTCCTGAGTAGCCGGGACTACAGGCACATGTCACCACACTTGGATACTTAAAACATTTCTTTTGTAGAGACAGGGTCTTGCTGTGTTTCCCAGGCTGATCTCAAACTCCTGGCCTCAAGTGATCCTCCCACCTTGACCTCCCAAAGCAGTGGGACTACGGGTGTGAGTTACCACATGCAGCTGGCTCTGGCTTTTATTTCTCTGGGGTCTATATAAGTTAGCCACTAGACTTTGATCCTCTTTCTGGTGCCCTCTGGAATGCCAAGCATCCAGCAGGACTGGCCTGCTGCTGGCATTCCTCACTTACCCTGTGGAGCTGGGTAACCTTGGTTAGATCATGGCATCTTTGTGGGTCTTTGTCATTTCCATAACTGTGAAATGTTCTACCTTCATAGAGAGTATAATAAAAGTGGGGGGGGGGGGCTGGGGAGTGCTGAGGAGACACCTACACTCATGCACACACAGGAAGTTGCCAATGCCGTGGCCTGTCCCGTGACCATAATTGAGCCCAGCATCCCACAAGGCTCTGCGGGCAAAGGCCTCCACCATTCGCCCTGGAAGGGAAGAGAGATTGACCCCAGTCAGCTGGCTTTACCGAAGACTGTCCACCTTGCCCCTTCCTGCTCCACTATCAGAGTGGTGCCCAAGAAGAGGGGCCCCTGAGAGGCCGCTAAGCATGCACTGATGCAATGATGTTGGGTTGGGATGGAGAAGGGCTGATGGATGGAGTCAGTGGTTCCCTCGCCAGACCAGCCCATCACTATCTCCAGCTTACTGTACATTGTATCCATTACCTGGATTGATGCCTCTACTATAATTTCTCCCCATCTGTCAGGGCTTTGCACTTTGACACCTAATTCCTCTAAGAATCCTCCCATAACTGCTGTGGCCCACTGATGTCTCCCACCTCTGAGCAACAGTGTTAGATTAAGAAACTTGAGTTCAAGGCCTGGGTCTCCTGCTAACCTTCTGTGTGACGTTGGGCAAGTCACTTTCTCTCTCTAGGCTGGATTTTCTCACCTACATAAGGGATGGGATGATGACAAAATCCTTGCCCCACCAGCCTCCCAGGGTGATGGTCTGAGTCCTGGTCCTGTGAAATCAGGGCCTGAGGCTGTGTCCATCCTGGTTTCTGAAACCCACCTGATGTAGCAGCAGGAAAGATGAGCCTGGACAAGTCAATATTTCCTATCAGCACACGGGTGTACGCCTCCTGATGGGGAGAGGAAGAGGTGGTGTGGAGGACGGGAGGAGGAGCCAGGGGAGTTTCCAGTTGCTTGGCCTGTGGATACATGGTGCAGGGCCCAGGCCTGGGTGTGTGTGGGCAGGGTGGGGGGAGTTGCATCGTCATCTGTGGCTGCCTGGGTTCTGGAAGATGGCCAGCAGAGACTGAAGAGGGCCCTCCCAAAGCTGGGGCTCCATCACGTGCTTCTCTATGGCTGGTTTATGAGGGTCATTACAATATCTACAGGAGACACTTGGTGACGGTGAGCCGAGGCTGTGACTCCCTGGGCTGAATCCTGACTCAGCCACTCACTCTGAGACCTTGGGCAGGTGACTTTAACTGCTGTGTGCCTCAGTTTCCTTATCTGCGATGGGAAGATAACAGGACCTAGCTCCTAAGGTTGTTGGGAGAGGCGGGCAGACTAATGTACAGAAGGTGCTGCCAACAGTGCGCATGCTTCGTGGAAGGTTAGCGCTCTCATTCCTGTGGTTGTGACGGCTGCTGAGTTTTCTTAAGGCCTTTCATGAGGGTTGAGGTTTGCTGACTTGGCAGCTTAGCCTTCCTCTGTCAGGGGAGGGAGGTGGGCTGACAGTGGCCTCTTCTGGTCACTTCCAGAGGCGATGTGGTCAATCCCCATCACCACACACAGTGCATAGGCTTGTCACTTTGTGCAGGACAGCCAGAGGCAGCAGACTCTGCCGCTAAACTGTGAGCTCCTGGAGGCCTGCACAGCATTTTGTTCCTCTCTCTGTGTTTCCAGCAGAATGTCTGCCCCATAGTTGGCCTGCTGCATGCAGCACGACGGCAGCTCGCTGCTCCACCCCCAGGGCCCTCTGGTGTACAGAGACAATGCCTTCGCCTCTGCCCCAGCTGGCCAGCCTGAACACCTCTGGCTCCTTTCCACTGTGGAGGCTTCACTTGTGCTGTTTTCCTCCACTTGGGATGCCTTTCTTTCTTCTTTCTGCTGAGTATAGGGCCAGGCACACAGGCAGCAACAAAAAAATATTTGTGTACTGATTTACCAGAATAGGACGAGGCTCAGCTTGGGCTGAGGCCTTGTCAGTGGCCTGAAATATCCCCAGGGAAGCAGCAGGGAGCACTGGGTTTCCTGGCACCATGTATGACCTTGGGCAAACTACGTAACCTCTCTGTGCCTCAGTTTTAGCCTCTGAAATGGAAGGGATCTTGATTGCTTGGGTGCTCCCCTTGAGGGAGGGTGGAGAGGGGAAATCTGGGCCCATGCTTACCTTCTGGAAGGCAGACGGGGTGCCCCAGTGGACTGTTCTGGTGATGTCTGTGGTCCCGTCCCTGTGGAGAAGGAAAACCAACAAGTCCTGCTCTGCCAAATGCCTGGGGCTAGTGACTGGGGCCATGTGCTTTCTGTGTGCTTTCCATAAGTGGCAGGGCTGGGATGGGATGCGTGGACGGCAAAAGGAAGAAGACAGCTACCATAATCAAAATCACCTCTTCAGTGCCTATGTGTGAAAGGCCTCTGCAAAGCTATCAAGTTAAAAGCCACTAAGTTGTCTGACAAGTGTGATTCCCTGCCCTACACACTCCTCCCCCATCGCACTCATTTTGGCTGTTTTGTAGATCTGGGTTTCCTTGGGTCTGGCTGGTTCTCAAAGCAAGGCTTCTTCCAGGTTTCCTGGGAGGCAGAAAGGGGATTGTCCCCTTTTTACAGCTGGGGAAACTGAAGTCCAGAGAGATTATGTTATCATAACACTCTCATATTCAGATAGTTATTGACCATTTATAGGACACTTTTGCTGCTCCCCAGGAAGAATGGCAGAGGAGGCCTCATTATCCCCATTTCACAGATGAGGCCATTGAGGCCATGCAACTGTTTCCCTCTCTGAACCTCAGTGAAGCCAGGCCTAGAGGAAGCACTGCCTCTCCACGCAGTCCTCTCCATGGCAAACACAGATCTGACCCAGTGATTTGCTGAGTTCCATTGAGGTGAAGCCTCAGCCCCAAGGTCTGACTCTCAACCCTCAGCTGCAGCAGTTGCCACAGGATGGTCCCTGTGATCACGCCTTGGTGAGGGAGAGGGGAGAAATGGTCCCAGGGCCCTGGGGCTCCTCCTTGGGTCATAGGGTGTGGTGGCCTTCTTCTTCACAAGGAAAGAAGAGGAAGTGAGGTGACTATTTCCACGGCCTCACCCTACTCTGAACACACTTCATTCCAGCAACGCCCCCACAAATTCACTTCCCCTTTGCTCACTGGCCATCTCAAGTACACCCAGCATCAAACTCCTGACCAGCAAAGGCTGCTAAGCTGAGCATCTGCTACTCCAGATCCCCGAGAGCTGTGCTAAGAACAAGCAAAGAGCCTCTGTTGTTAGCACATTCGCCATTTCCACAGGATAGACACTGGGAAACCATTTGAAACTACTCCTTGCTCCTCCATCAGTTCAGTGTGGCCCTTCTTTTGCCCCACCCCATGCTTCCCACAGTCTACTTCCTTCCTTAATGAGAAGGGAAAATCTTTCAGGTCAGCTCTGCTCAGCTCAACTCTGGTGTGAATGATTGGTTACACGTTTGGAAGGAATAGGGTTAGTCTTTTTTTTTTTTTTTTTTTTTTTTTAACAGAGTCTTGCTCTGTTGCTCAGACTGGAGTGCGGTGTCACCATTGCGGCTCAGTGCAACCTCCGCCTCCCGGGTTCAAGCGATTCTCCTGCCTCAGCTTCCCTTGGGAAGCATGCTCCACCATACCCGGCTAATTTTTGTATTTTTAGTAGAGATGGGGTCTCACCATGCTGCCCAGGCTGGTCTCAAGCTCCTGACCTCAGGTGATCTGCCTGCCTCAGTCTCCCAAAGTACTGGGATTACAGGTGTGAGCCACCATGCCTGGCCAGGTTAGCCTATTCTGCATGGCTGTCATGTCTGAGCATTCAGGTTGTACACTGTACAAGGGTAGCCCATTGAAAGGGTTGCTTCTCTCATCTGCCCCCACCTCCACCCTGAACAGTGCCATGGGGAAGAGGGGGCTGAGGAGTCTGCATGATGTTGGTGGTGCAGGGTTGTCCAGGGTGTGCACGAGTGGGTGACAGTAGGGTGTATGTGTTTGTGTAGCCAGGCAGGGACATTGAGTATAGTTGCTCAGACTGTGTAATAATACGTGGACTTAGAAAACATTTTACTTGAGGCTTGGCATGGTGGCTAACGTCTGTAATCCCAGCACTTTGGGACAGCACTTTGGGAGGGCAGGGCAGGTGGATCACCTGAGGTCAGGAGTTTGAGACCAGCCTGGTCAACATGGTGAAACTCCATCTCTCCCTAAAATACAATATATCCAGGCATATGGTGGTGAACACCTGTAGTCCCAGCTACTTGGGAGGCTGAAGCAGAAGAATCGCTTGAACCCAGGATGCAGACGTTGCAGTGAGCCAAGATCGCGCCACTGCACTCCAAACCTGGGCAACAGAGTGAGACTCTGTCAAAAAACAAACAAACAAGCAAACAAACAACCCACACAAAACAGTAAACATTTTACGTGAGCAAAGGAAGTCTTTTCCTAATTCTCACAGAGGTGCTGCCTGGGTCCTGCCACTGTTCCAGCCTCTGTGTATTTCCCACTGTGCAGGGACCCTGTGTGTGAAAATGGGAAGGATGTTTGGGGCTCATTCCAGGTCTCTCCTTTCTCAGACGAAGAATCCATGGCTCAGGAAGGGAAAGCTTTGGCTGACTCTTGGCAGGCTCAGGAGGTCTGAGCAGAGACATCTAGGCCAGGGTGAGGTGAGGGGTACATACCAGTACTGCCCCCCAGAGTCCAGCAGGTACATCTCATCTGAGGACAGCTTGCGGTTCAGCTCCTTGGTCGGGCTGAGAAGGGGAAGAGAATGCTGAGAGGGGCAGCCTAACCCTGCACTGGATCACATGGGGGCCCTTGGTGGGAGGACCTCTGGGGTCTGGGCTTCCAGGCCAGTCCCTCTGGGGGAAGTCATTCTATCCCAAAGGGCCCTGGAAGATAACTCAGCTTCCGTTGCTGCTGTCTTCAGCACAGGTCTGCTAATCTTGCACCCGGCTGAGCCAGGCCCTGGACCCCGGGAGGAGAGAGAGGGTGAAGTCCAGAATGTGAGAGCTGGGAGAGCCCTAGAGACCCCCCAGCCCAGCCGTCTCCTTTTCCATAAGGAGAAGCAGGCCCATGGAGGCCAAGGGGCTTGCACGAGGATGCGCGGTACAGCGGCGAAGAGTTGGGCCTCTACCTGGATGCTCCCTTCGGCCCTTTGTCTCTAACTTCCTGCTGCCTCTGAGAGCAGAGGGCCCCGAGAAGAAGCAGAGCACAGGAAGGGAGGGTTCCTCCAAGGTGGGGCTGCAGAGCAAGAGGTGGTAAAGCGGAGGAGCACCCACCGCGACACTCTAGCCCGAGTGGGTAGGAGGGGCTGGGGCAAGGCAGCCAAAAGCGTGGGAGACACCAGGGGACACCAGGGAGGGAATTCTGGGACATATCAGGCACTCCCGTGGAGGGCACTGACCTCTCCCTGCTGTGCCCATGCCAGGCGGAGGCAGCTGGTCAGCTTGCCCCCCACATTTCATCAGGCAGGCCTGCAGGGCTTTGTTTTCTATAGGGCCAAACACCTGGCTAGCCTGCATCTTGGGCCCACCTTGGTTGGCTCAGACTGAGTGAACAGGCCTCTCTTCATGTGACCTCGTGAGCTTCAAGCATTAGCTAACATAAGCAACACACGGGAAGCCAGGGAAAAGCATCCAATGGTGTCTCCCTTCCAGGTCCCCTAGCCTCCAGTGCTCAGGCCTTTTCATTACACAGCAACTCCCTACTCCACACTGAGCTCCTCTCCCAGCCCCCACAGGGCTAAGAGCCTCAGACCTCCAATGTGGACTCAGTTCCCAGAACATCCCCCTCCCCTCACCCTGTTCCTCTATACACACAACGGGATCCCCCAACAGGGCCCTAGAAAATTAATTTTCCTCAAGTACCTGTAGTGGGCCAGGGCAGCATTCAGACCACTAGCAGAGATGGTTTCAAAACTGGGTCCAGAGGAGAACTGTTCTTCTCTGGAAAGTACAAGGCAAGGCATGGTCAATGAATCGGCCCCTGGACTGGGCTGGGCCTGGGATATCTAATAAAATCCAATGAAGGTCACGGCTGCCTCTACCAGGCACCATTTGGCTCTCCCAGCCCTCACCTCCTGGTTCCATCTCCCCAAGCCTTGACCTGTCATTTATAGAGGAAGATCAGAGGACACACTGTAGACACCAATTATTCCCTCTCCACCTCCATTTTACGGATAGTAGTGAAGAAACCCAGCTCTTTGTATCTGAAAACTCCCCCAGTCCTGGAAGAGCATCCTGTACCTCAAACCTACAATCCGGGCCCTGACTTGGGCCAAGCATGCCTTCGGGAATCCTTCTCTCTACCTGGTATTCTCAAGTGGTCCAGGGGCTGACCTGGTCTGAGCCACAGCCTCCCCCAGGGAGAGCCAGACCGTGCCTGAAGCAGACACTAGGGGACGCTATTGAGTTGTGGCCCTTCAAGTTGTCCTGCTTTCAGCGGGGCGGGAAATGTAATCCAACGCCCCCTGCTCAACTCCCCCACCAACCAAGAACCTGTCTCTCCTTGTTCTACAGAGCCCTCCCCCACCCAGCCCGCATATGAGGAGGATCTTCCTTCCCGTTAAGTAAGGAGACAAATTCCCCCTCCCTGCCCCCACTGCAACACTAAAAAGGATGGCCGTGGCTCTTCACCCTCGGAACTTGTCCACGAGCTCTGCCCCCGAGAACTCGTCCACTGTGCCTTTGGGCACATTCTTCTCCAGCCAGACCAAGTACCGGATCACAGCCACAGCGTCCCGCACCTGGAGTTGGGGAAGCAGGGAAACAGAGGAGCTGGCTGAGGTCTGATTGCAGCCACAGGCTCCAAGATGATGGAGATCAGATAGCTGCTCCAGGATGTGGAGCTTTAAAAACACTGGCTATTTGATGTCAAATAATTCTTGTTAGTGTTTATATGTGATCACAGTGTGTTCCTGTTTTTGAAAGAGTTCTGTGTTGACAGCAGAAATGACACGCTATCTAGGATTTACTTTTAAAAGAATCCAGCAGCAGAGGGGGTGGTGGTGGTGGTAATGAACATGGGGTTATAGACAAAACAAGAATGGCCATGAGTCAAGGACTGTTGAAGCTGGGTGAAGGGACACTGGAGATTATGATGCTATTTTCTCTACCTTTGTGTGTCTTTAAAATTTCCTATAAGATAAAGTTTTTTTTTTTTTAAATGAGGTGGTTTATCTTAATTTTAACAAGAATTCTTTTTTAAAAATTGAGCCATCCTCTTGCCAGTGTGAGGAAATCATTACAGCTAACATTTAACACATAGAATGTGCTAGATGGTGCTCAGAGCAATATACATATTCATTGAATTCTCACAACAACCATATGCTGTAAGATTACTATTATGATCCTCATTTTACAGATGGGGTAACTGAGGCCCAGAGAGGTAAAATGACTTGGCCAAGGTCACTCAGTTAGGAATTGGGTGGAACTGGGGTTTGAACTCAAGGCACCCTAGCTCCGGGGCCTGTGCTCTAAACCACTGTACTATATTGGGGGCAAGGCTATGTGGTGCATGTGGGCACCTGGGAATAATTTGGTGTCTGCTTCTTTATTCCTTCCCCTCCCCTCCCCTCCCCTCCCTTTCCCTCCTTCCTTCCTTCCTTCCTTCCTTCCTTCCTTCCTTCCTTCCTTCCTTCCTTCCTTCCTTCCTTCATTCTTTCTTTCTTTCTTTCTTTCTTTCTTTCTTTCTCTCTCTCTTTCTTTCTTTCTTTCCTCCTTCCTTCCTTCCCTCCCTTCCTGCCTGCCTGCCTGCCTTCTTTCTTTCTTTCTTTCTTTCTTTCTTTCTTTCTTTCTTTCTTTCTTTCTTTCTTTCTTTCTCTCTCTCTCTCTCTCTCTCTCTCTTTTTTTTTAACCTAGTCTCGCCCAGGTTGGAGTGCAGTGGCATGATCTCAGCTCATTGCAACCTCTACTTCCCAGGTTCAAGCGATTCTCATGCCTCAGCCTCCTGAGTAGCTGGGACTACAGGTGACTGCCACCATGCCCGGCTAATTTTTGTGTTTTTAGTGGAGACGGGGCTTCACCATGTTGGCCAGGCTGGTCTCGGACTCCTGAGCTCAAGCGATCCTCTCACCTTGGCCTCCCAAAGTGCTGGGATTACAGGCGTGAGCCACCACACCCAGCTTGCTTCTTTGTTTCATTGAGGGTTTTCTTCAGGCTCTTCTGGAAGCCTTTCCTTTCTAACTCATTAGGCTGGATACTCCCAAAAGGCCATGTCTGCCTGAACGTGGACTTACGTGGCTGGCCTTGAGGAGGGCCTGCTCCTTGCTGTTCTTCACTGCCTTGGTCATCATCACTGGGGAGTAGGTATCTGTCACGAGTTTCTCCTGTTGGGGGCAGGGAGGAGAAAAAGAGGTCTGGGGGCACAGTAAAGGAGGCACAGGGGTGTTTTCAAAGGACTGGCAGGAGGACCCAGCAGAGGTGAGACTTGCCACCGTTTCTTGGCAATGCTCTCTCCTCTGTGTGCTTTCTCTCTTTCCTAGTTTTCCACGTCCAGCTGAACCTTCTCTCCTTCCAGGAAGGCTTCCTTGATTGACACTGCCTTGTTTGGCAGTGAACTCCCTATCTTTGGATCCCACCAGCACTCTGGGATGGATCAGAGTCTGGCCTGAGTCAATCGACAGGCTATTCTTTTTTTTTTTTTTTTGAGATAGTCTCACTCTGTCGCCTGGGCTGGAGTGCAGTGGCCAGATCTCAGCTCACTGCAAGCTCCGCCTCCCGGGTTTACACCATTCTCCTGCCTCAGCCTCCTGAGTAGCTGGGACTACAGATGCCCGCCACCTCGCCCGGCTAGTTTTTTGTATTTTTTAGTAGAGACGGGGTTTCACCGTGTTAGCCAGGATGGTCTCGATTTCCTGACCTCGTGATCCGCCCGTCTCGGCCTCGCAAAGTGCTGGGATTACAGGCTTGAGCCACCGCGCCCGGCCTCGACAGGCTATTCTGACAGTGTAAGTTTCCTGTACATATCATGACAGCTACCATTTATTGAACGCCTACCATGTGTCAGCCATATACACTATCTCCTTTAAATCTCCACTGAACGACTCCTGTGAGGTCGGGACTCTTATTGCCATTTTATAGGTGAAGAAAAAGACCCAGATTGGCTAAGTTGCTTGTCCAAAGTCACTGCACCGCTAGTTAGGGGCGGAGCTGGAATTCATTTTCAAGTTTGGCTGACTCCAAAGTCTCTGCTAGATCAGGCCATATACTCTCCAGCCTCCTGACAATTTTATGAACTCTCTGGACGAACATCCCTGTTTCCTATTCTGTCTCCTCCCAATTAGGCCAAGAAGGGAACTCACTGCACAGTTGTTGGCTGACCAGGTGACTGAATGGCTGAGGGGTTTCATCCCACTTTAGATTAAGACTTCTCAGGCCTGGAGCGGAGATTGGTGCCTGGCTTGGGCTGGGGCCTGGTAAACCCACCTTGGGTATCACTTCATAGATCCCATACATGGTATAGCTGGTCCCGATCCAGATCCTCACATCTCCCAATGCGTAGGCCTGGATGCTGTCACGAACTTGACTGTAATCCTCGATTTGCACACACATGGGGCCTGTGCAACTGGAGTTCAGATAGCTCAAGGTTTCAGAGCTAAAGCGACTCTTGTTTGCAAACAACCTGGGTGGGGCGGGAAGGCAAGGAGGGTCCTGAGCATCTGTTAAGAATGCAAAGGACCAGAGGCAGTCACAGTCCCTTTGTTCCTGGAGGTCAAAGGAAGCCAGCCCCAGGGAGCCAAGCAGGCCAGATTTGGGATACAACAGGGACAGAGTTTTAAAGAGTCAGGAAAAGCCAACAGGGGGTTTTCTAAAGGGTTGTGCTGGGGCAGGCACCAAGCTGATGGGCAACCAGAGGGCTGTACATTAAGGCAGGATCAGTGGTGGGGCATCGAGAGGGTGGAAGTTGGAGGAAGTCCACGACAGCAAACTAAGGAAAAGCCATACCTGATAGAAGAGTCTGTGAGCAGTGTGTAGGAATAGAAGAAGGGGTTATAGGGGATGTCACTGGCTCGAAGGTTGAAGAGCCCTGGGAAGAGAATTGACAAGGACTATTTAATGCTGATCTGCCTGAGGCAAGCTTTTCTTTTCTTTTTTCTTTCCTCCCTTCCTCCCTCCCTCCCTCCCTCCCTCGCCTCCCTCCCTTCCTTCCTTCCTTCCTTCCTTCCTTCCTTCCTTCCTTCCTTCCTTTTTTTTGACAGTATCTTGCTCTGTCGCCCAGGCTGGAGTGCAGTGGCAAGATCTCACTGCAACCTCCACCTCCCAGGTTCAAGCAAGTCTCCTGCCTCACCCACCCAAGTAGCTGGGATTACAGGTGCCCGCCACCATGCCCAACTAATTTTTGTATTTTTAATAGAGGCGGGGTTTCAACATGTTGGTCAGACTGGTCTTGAACTCCTGACTTCAGATGATCCGCCCGCCTTGGCCTCCCAAAGTGCTGGGATTACAGGCGTGAATCACCGTGCCTGGCCTGAGGCAAGCATTTCTGACACTTTTGCCCTACGGTTTCTTTTGGCCCCCGAAGATTACCAGCAACATGTTTGCATCATCTACCCCTGCATGTTACTCAATCTTTTTTTTTTTTTTTTTTTGGGATGGGGCGGTCTTTGAGATGCTGTTGAGAGTTATGGCTCTTTCCCCCCAGAAAAATGCAGATACTTAGCAGTCAGCACACAGTTCCAGTGGGTCCCTGGAATATCTGAAGCCCAGCCATAGGGATCAGACAAGAAGTCCTGAGCCATACCAGAAAGAGTAGGGTCCCACTGGGTGCTAAAGCTGGGAGTGTGAGTGCCCTGGGGTAGTGGCTAAGTTGTTGGGAGGCATTTGCTGGTCCTCCTCCCCTTAATGAGACGGAAGCACTTTGCTGCCATGGTCAGTTCATTCCTCTGGTGGCCTGTGGGCTGGTACCGGCTTGCTCAGGGCTACCTTGTGTCCTTTTTCTGCAGCCATGAGCTCCTGCCCCCTTACCCTTCTTGGTTCTCACGGGCTGTGGCCATGGAGTTCTGAAGAACTGGTGGGCACACGGTTATTTGGGGAGGAGCTAGCTTTGTGCTACAGGGCCTGGGAGGCTTGGGGCATTGGGGAGACCCAGGCGGCTACCCATGTCTGCAAATCCACACTCACAGGCCGTCTCCTCAAGCGCCGACAGAAGGACGGCAGTTGGGGCCTTCTGATGCTTCTGCATCTGACTTCGGACGCCAGATACTTTCTCCTGCCAAGTGCTCCCTAGAAGCAAAGGAGCCCAAAGAAAGTGTAAGTGACAGACCTTGCCTTTGGCACTTGGTTCCTGGAAGGTCAGCCTTAGAGTAACAGTTTTGCATCCTCTTAAAAAGCAGCAGAACCCTTTCCTCAAACAAACTCTTAATGACATGGGCCCTGCACCAAGATGGGGCTCAAATCCTGGCTTTGCCATTACTGGATGGGTGATCTTGGGCAAATTACTTAACCCCTCTGTGTCTCATTTTGCACATCTGTAAAATGGGGATGAAGTATAATAAGTATCTGCCTCAACAGGGTTGCTATGAGGATGGAATGAATTAATATTTGTAAAGGACACTCAATGGTATCTTGAGATGTAGTAACTCTTGTATCTTTCTGATTAATGAATAAGCATGTAGACTGAGATCAGTAGAGCAGTTCTAGTTGAAGGACAAAGGGGTAGGGCTGGGGCCATGTTTAACCTTCTCCTCTGCGGTAACTGTAGTATTTACTAAGCCACGGGTACTGGTCTAAGTACTCCATGTGCACTGTTCTAATGCTTACCCGTCCCATTTTACAGATAAGGAAACTGAGGCTTCAGAGAGGTAAAGTGATTGTCTAGGGTTTCATGGATGCAAGACGTGGAGCTGGGATTTGAACTCTGGTCTGTCTGACTGCATGGTCCACGCTCTTAATCTGTACAGACACTACTGTCTTGATAACATCGTCAGTCTCCAAATCTGTCCTTAAACTCTGTGTCACAGCACCGTCCTTTCTCAGATGCTTATATCCAGGTTCTAGGACTTTAGTTTTCATCTTCTGTCCCTGCCCCCTGCAAGGTATTCAAAGAATCTACACCAGGCAGGACTAGGAGTTTGCTGGCCGAAGGCCATAAAGAGTCCTAGTTGGGTTCAGATATGAGCATAAATAACTTAATGACGTGAAAAATATTTCTTGTAAACCGGTAAAACTATTCAACAATGACCAAAGCTTTGGGTACAATACATTTTGCAGGTTTATTTTACTACATATTTACACATAATTTATGTTATGTGTAAAATACACATAGCATAAAACGTATCATTTTAACCTTTTGAAAGTGCACAATTCAGTGGCTTTCAGTACACTCACAATGTTGTGCAACCATCGCCACGATCTAATTCTAGAACATTTTCATCATCCCCAAAGGAAACCCTGTGCTCACTAAGGAGTCACTCCCTATCCCCCCTCCCCTGAGCCCCAGGAAACCACTAATTTATTTTCTGTCTCTATGGATTTGCCAATGCTGGATATTTCATACAAATGGAATTGTACAATTCCATTGAGAAGGCCAGGGCTTCTCTGACTGGCTTCTTTCACTTGCAATTATGTTTTCAAGGTTCAGGAATATGATACCTTTCTGAGAAACCAAATGAACCCAAATTTCAACGGTCTGGTGCATACAGGTATCTTTGAGTAGCGAACTTTTCATGTTCTGCCCTTTGCACTCTCCTTTCTCCTTTAAAACCTGCAAGTGGGCCGGGCGCGGTGGCTCAAGCCTGTAATCCCAGCACTTTGGGAGGCCGAGACGGGCGGATCACAAGGTCAGGAGATCGAGACCATCCTGGCTAACACGGTGAAACCCCGTCTCTACTAAAAATACAAAAAAACTAGCCGGGCGAGGTGGCGGGTGCCTGTAGTCCCAGCTACTCGGGAGGCTGAGGCAGGAGAATGGCATAAACCTGGGAGACAGCTTGCAGTGAGCTGAGATCCGGCCACTGTACTCCAGCCTGGGTGACAGAGCGAGACTCCGTCTCAAAAAAAAAAAAAAAAAAAAAAAAAAAATGGCTGGAAAGTCTCTCTCGTCTCTATAAGCTTATTGAAGCTGAACTCTGTTCTTTAGCTTCCAAACTCAAGCTCCAGGTGCCTTTTTCTTGAAGACTGGCAGTGTGCGATGACTCGGCATCCCCTCACTTTTGGGAAGTGACAAAACCCTTCCAGCCCCAGAAAGGTTTTTCTGTTTTTTCTCCTCCCCTTCCCGACATAACTTTGACTTTCTTTATCTGAATAAGATGAGTTTTATTTATGATATAACAGTCTTGGATAGCAAGTTTCTTTTAAAATGGTGTCAAGATGCAGAAAGAATGATTCTACAATTTACATCAGAACAGATAAAGAAAAATGGACACAATTTTCACTTGTTGCATCATGGCTGCTATTTTGAAATCTCCCTTCTGCTTTATTGGCTCCTTTCTAAATGAGAAATTGTGTGGACTTGCATGTGGAAAGGGATCTCTTGGCTTGATCACTGTTACTAGGAATCCAAGTTCATTGGCTCATTCAGAATTCCCAGGGAGATAGGAGTGGTTGGTGGCCAAGATACTGATTCATAATCAGTAGCCCGGTCCTGGTCAGGACTTTAGTTACGACTTACAGGAATCTTACAACATATTGTTCTTTTGTGATGTATTTAGATAGTGTCAACAGGGTCAAGGTTATTGATGTTATATTTTTCTAACTTTCCTGATTGGTCCAGCAAAACCTGAACTGTCATCTGTGCTACAGAATGACTCTGAACTTAGTTATTTACTTATTCTGTCCACTCCTGGCCCACCTGACCCCAGCCTATCTCACAAATCTAAATTCTTCATCACAAGAGGGTCACAAGTAAAGGTCTGAATGATTCATTATGAATCAGTCTCCGCCACCAGACAAGCAAATCATATCATGCTTTTTTATCTCTCTTGAAAGGGGTTGGATATTTCCTCTCATCTTTCTCTGTTTTCCTTCTTTCCTCCCTTCCTACTCCATCTTGCTTCAAATCCTAACATTCTTTAATCCAACATTTTCTAAGTATGGTCGGAGGACATTTTGATTCAGACTCCTCAAGGGGAGGGGGCCCTGAAATCTGCATTTTAAACAAGCATCCCAGGTGACTCATGTGCATGCTAAGGTTTGCAAACCACTGCTTTGGTACCTCTGATGATGAAGTTCGCCACCTACGGAAGAGCAGCCGGGACTTGCGTTGCTACAAGTTGGGAAGGAAACTGGGCTTACTGAATCACCTGTGAATGCCTCCTGCAGGGCATAAATGGGTTGATTTGGAACAGGTGGCCTTTCTGATCCCCACACCAGGTCCACAAGGTTGGTTGTGATGGACACCAGCTGTCTGTTAGAGCCTTGGAGGGCCAGATTATAACTCTCCCAGGTGTCTGCAGAGACAGGAAGGAGTCACTTGTCCCTTGCCCATTTACACCTCAGGAAAAAATTGTGATTCAAGCAAAGTTAGTCCTGGTTCCCTTTGCCTCCATTTGCAGCCCAGCTGCCCTGAGCCTGCCCCAGCAGCCTGCCCCCCCCATCCCCCGGCATGTGTGCCCATGCTGGGGTATGTTTCTCATCCTCTTTCTGCTTTCCAAGCCTAATGCCCTGAGCCTACTCGAACACTGACCGCCACAAATTGGCTAAGCTTGTCTTTTACATTGCCAGTGGCTGTGGGTGGTCCTTCTTTTGGGCACTAATTATTTTATCAGGGCTTCAATGTCACAGTCCAAAGGAATGGTGATGTTCTGGCCATTGGACAGGCTGGCAAAGAAGCCAGTTCTAAAGCACAAGCCTTTCAGTACATATTCATAAGGACTCCCCTTTGGGAGAACGGGCTGGCCAGCTGTCTGGGGCCCCAGAACTCAGAAAGTTGTATTCTCAGGGGCCTTTTTTTTTTTTCTTTTTTTAAAAAAAACAACTCAGAGGCCCTCCCAACTCTTTTGACCCTTCTAAGCTACCTTCCAGAAGAGGGTTACCATGTGATTCCAGCACCGTCATTGGCAGGGTTCCAGGGCACAAAGGATGGTTCTGAGTTCAAACACATTCTGCCTATTCATCCACTGGATCTTTAATGATTCACTGAGTCTTCTAGGTTGGGTCTCTGCACTCATGGATTTTAAAATATTTGTACTGATTCTTTTAAATGTATTTTAATTACACAATTCCATGAATACATCCTCATTGCAAAACATTCTGCAACTACAATTTCAAATGCTCTATCTTTATAGTCCCACCGCCCCTCCTTCTACCAAGGTCCATTTCTTTATATCCCAGGAAAGCTAAGTCACCCTTGTTGGCATGGACAAATTCAGGGACTGAGGGAAGACCATACCAATGGACAAGAGGAAGGGGTCAAAGCCCACACACCCTCCAGCAGGAATCTCGGTGAGGAGCCAGGTGACAATAGGAGTGGTGCCAACTGAAAGAAAGATAGGAAGGAATGCAGAGGTCACCCCCAGGGCCAGCCCAAGGCCCTGCAGCCAGGGGTTCTGTCTGACGGTCCTACCATGTGTGTCTTCCTTGAGATCAGCCTCGAAGGTCAGTGATGGCCTCAAATTTCCTAAGCTCCCCATAGGGACCCAGCATGGTCCTACATGCATGCTCTCACCTATATCTTCCTGAACCTAGTCCAGGTCCCAAGACTTGGGGGACAAATCCATGCGACCTTCTACCTTCCTTATGGAGCTCCCAGTTGCAGTCCATCTGCCGCTCAGCCTGAGTCCAGTAGCGACTGTCGGTCCAGACAGCTGCTTTCTTCATGGTCACCACTGCAGTTCCTGGGGCAGAACAGAGAAACTTGCAGGTGAGGGTGAAGGGGAGGAACGTGGCATTAGCTGATGGATGTGCAATGCAGTGCTGGCTCTGAGAATGCCACGAGGGGCCTCTGGAAAGAGATTCTGTCCTCCATTGGAAGGAAGTGAGCAAGGAGATGTTAAAAAGAGCTATGGGGGGAGCTGGCAGAAAGGTGTCCTGAATCAGGCACCTCTGCTTTGTGTCGAGGGCTGCTTGTGGACTTTCAGCAGAAGTGAGGTCAACTTTTGGCTGCAAGTAGGCGCTCTCAGGAAAGATGGGGCTCAGCGTAAAGACTCGGTGGCTGATCGGGACGCTAAGGCAGAGGCTCAGCTGAGGACTGGTGGGGAAGAATAATCCAGAGATTTTGGCAAAGGGAAAAAGAGCCTATGATGCACGAGGCAGGGTAGTTTGAAGCCCAAGGAGGAACGTTTGAGGATCAGAAAAGGAAACTTGGATTTCATTCAATGGGCCAGGATCACGGTGCGAGGCCCCTTCAGACACTGTGATCTCATCAAGGGCTTCTGTTTGTGTCTCATTTGGCCATGTGAAGTGATGTTGTCCGTAAAGCAACTGGCAAAGGAAAGCTTTGTCCCCAAATGAGCCCTCATGTGAAGGGAATCGGCAGATTCTTAGTGGTTAGAGGTAGAAGTAGCAACTATTCAGAAATGGAGCCCAGGAGTGCCAGACTGGGCCTGGCTGCAGCAGAGGTAATGAGCATGGGAAGGCAGCCTCTGCCTCATTTCTACACAGAAAATGGCTGGTGGGCTATGAGATATGTGCCCTGGGGAATATGATGGCTTTGGGCTGGTGGAGGGAGACAGAGAGAGTAGAAGGGTTTTCTCTACAGTAGGTTCTGGGGTCCCAGATGCTGAGACACTAGCCACATTAGGTCCTCTGTGACCACCTCTGGATCTACCAACAAAAGCAATGGGGCTGGGTAATGATTGTCACCTGCAGACCCTGTAAAGCCTGTAATCCACGCACGCCTCTCGTCATGTTGGCCGATGTACTCGTTCTAGGAAATCAACAACACCATCAATAGCCTTTTTCGTGGTGTCAGATCCCACATGAAAGGCCCCCAACCACATCCCAGTTATTTCTGTCTGTCAGCTCCAACCCCTTGTCAGCTACAAGCCCAAGCACACCAAGTGCCTCTTCCAGGAAGCCCTCTGTAACTCTCCCAGCCTTCAATATCTTCCCTTCCTTTGAGCAACCGTAACTTTTGCAATTCAACACCCCCCGCCCCGCCCCATCCACACTGGACTCAGTGCAACACTGGACTGTTCTGCAAAGGAGCCTTGTTGCCCTGCCCTGCAAATTCTATGCAGTCTAGGGTCCTGTCTTTTGGTTCGTTTGGGATTTCCCCTCCAGCTAACCCTTCTCCCTCCTGAGTCAAGCACAGTAGACTGGGAACATCATAACTTCTGCAAAGGGCTTTACATATTATCATATTTTGATCCTCATAATCCTTGGAGATAGATCTCATTACAGACCCATTTCTCTTTGCAGAAGAGGAAACTGAGGCTCAGGGAAGTTCAGACACTTACCCAACATTCTTAGCCCTTCCCAGCATGTAGGAAAACTAATTCAAACAAGCTCATTGACACTGAAAATGCCCTCTCTCCCAAATGGGCTGGTGTTGGAAAGGTGGATGGTATGGAGGGTGGAGCTAGTGATGGGAAACAGTGGGATGGGTGCCCCCCTCCACAATCAACTCCGTACTCCCATAACCCAGGATTTTGGATAATTTTGCCACTCCATTCCACAGAGTATGGGAAGGCCTGGGCCGGAAGGGAGCTTAGAGTTCTTCCAGTCCAATTTCCAGCCCACCTTCTAACCTCCTAGGGCAGGGATACCCTAAACATTCATTCTGGATCTGCCTTCTAGGAATTGATGAAAATTGATTCTGAAGTTGTTTATAGTTTAATTTCTTGAGGTTAAGGAGGTTTGGCAATGTCTCCCTGCCTATGTAGAAGGATACATTCTTTCAGTTGCCTTAAAACTACCATGTCCATGCTCTCCACTTCCCTCCCTTTGCCCGTCAGATCCTTTCTCTGCCTTCATCTTCTGAGTTTTAACAGCTACTGTTTGTGGTCTCTGACCCAGGGTATCAGAGAGGGCAAGGGGGAGAGAAGCTGTCTCTTACCATGTGAGCATCCGTGTCTGGGATGATATAGGCCGAGAGATTCTGGGTCTGCATCTGCTGGCGGAGGGCTGTGAGTGACACTGTGGTGTTGACCACAGTAACTGGAAGGTACTGACAGATGACAAGACGATATCGAGACACAAACAAACAGATACACATGTTGCTTAAAGAAAATCACACATGGGCCCCTGGCCTCCAGAAGAACCCCCAGCCTCTCCTGAAGCAGGGGTTGGGGAAAGTTAGGCTGACCTGGCTTGGGAAGGGTTGGGGCGGCAACTGATGTTACCGCCTAGTCTAGATAAAGATGCCTGGGCTGGGTGGAGATGGAGGTGTTGAAGAGTTTGGAAAGGGACCCCTTGTGACAGTAACGGGACCTGAGTCTGGGATGCGGGTGTGGGTGAGAACTGCAGGGGTCTGAGCTCTGGCACTGGGCCAGGCCATGCAGATGGTCCTTCTTTGGCTACCTGGGGTAGGGTTGCCAGATTAGTAAATAAAAATACAGGACACTCACCTAGTTATGTTTGCATTTCAAATAAACAATGTATAATGTTTTAATGTAATACTTACATTAAAACATGCACAATTTGGGGCATACTTGCAGTAAATTCTTATTTGTTATCTAAAATTCAAATGTAACTGGGTGTCCTGTATTTTATCTGGCAACCTTCCCTTGGCAGGGCTTTTTCAGGTTGCCACCCACTGGTCCCAAATGGCAGAGGAGAGTGAATGAATGCCCCCAACAGTTTGAGATATTGCCCAGAAAGACCCTTTCCAGATCAGTTCTCTATTTCTTTACAGGTCGTTTTAGCTTTAAAACGAAAAGCATGTTTTCGTTTGTGCTGTTTTGCTTTCTACTCCACAATATATCCATGTTTGTTTTAACATAAAAGTAATGTGGTTCGCCCACCCACCTGCCTGCCCTAGGGGGTCCCATAAAGTTGATATTGCTAGCAGATGTACTGCGCTTTTCCCATGGCTTACAGTGCTGCTGGCATGCCTACCCCTTAGCCCCTACTCTGATTGTAGAAAGAATCACTCTGCTCCCCAGCTAGGAAGCTGACTACTCAAGCCCCTTCTGCGGGACCTTTTCCTCATCTTCACACCCTAGGCCTCCCTCTCTTGCCCTTCCTTTGGCTTTTCTTTGGTTTTGGTTTTGTTTTGTTTTGTTTTTGAGACAGTCTCGCTCTGTTGCCCAGACTGGAGTATAGTGGCACGATCTCGGCTCCCTGCAACCTCTGCTTCCTGGGTTCAAGCAATTCTTCTGCCTCAGCCTCCCAAGTAGTGGGGATTACAGGGACCCGCCACCATGCCTAGCTCATTTTTTTTTATTTTTAGTAGAGACGGGTTTCACCATGTTGCCCAGGCTGGTCTCGAACTCTTGACCTCAGGTGATTCACCCGACTTGGCCTCCCAAAGTGCTGGGATTACAGGTGTCAGCCACAGTGCCCAGCCTCCGTTGGCTCTTCTAACCCCTGTCTTCCTCCCTCTTCCCTTCTGTGCTTCTCCTTTTGCTGTCACTCTAGAATTTGTCTTTTTTTCCTCCCATCTTCCTAGCCTCTGCCTGGCCTCAGCCAAAGGCCAGCTAGGGCCCTCCTGCCCTCCTCCCACCTCCTAGCGGGGTTTCCCAGACCCAGATCAGCACGGAAGCAGATAACCTGCTGCGGGGAATGAGTGGGAGGGAGGGGAGGGCACTGATGTGGAGGGGAGGGAGTGGAAGGGGTAGGGGCCCCAGAGTCCGGAAATCAGGAGAAAGCCTGATAGGGGGAGGGGCTACCAACTGAGCGAATGGGGGATGGAGAAGACGATAGGGCACAGCGGGGGTGCCTCGATGCAGGGGTGAGTGGGGCAGGGTGGCGGGGAGGTGCGCTGGGGGGGAGGGGGCTTGTGCGCAGGGCGGGAGCGGGGGCGGGGGCTACTCACAGGAGGGTTGGTGGAACAGTTTCTCACATCCTGCCCTCCAAGATCCGCTGGCTTTGGGTGGCCCCAGGCACAAGCTAGAAGCCCGAGAGAAACCCAGGGTCATTTGGGAACCAGCTAGTTACTAGAGAGGGAAGGACCTCAGCCCGCCCCGCAGGGCCTCCATCCTTTGAAATGCACGAAGCTGGCCAGCTCCACTTGAGGATAAAAATAATCACATTTCATAGGAAATCAGGTTGAATTGGATAGCACCCTGGGTCACAATCAAAGAAATCTGTTTCATAGACAAGTGATTGCCACTTTTGGATGGGTTTTAGTGCTCATTAAATCAATTTTTCTTCTAATCTAATTGGGTCTTTTCAGGGTTTAGTGAAGTGGAAAAGTTGTGTGTAAATTAAATTTTTGCTATCAAATTTTCTTTGAAATGCTCTAGAGGATCACACTAAATAATCACCCCACCTTCATTTTAGCCTTTTATAAATCTAATTGTATAATACACTGGGTTGACTTCAATTCAAGGCCTGCTTGCACTGTTTCTTATAGTCCAAATCTTTGCCTATCGTTCCAGGCTCATTTTCAATATATTAGACAGAAATCCCAGTCTTCCATGGTGGGGAAAGGTGGTTTAATTAGCATTTAAAGACACCCTACTATGTGCCAGATACTGAACGCAGCAATTCACCTACAGTATCTCATTTGATATTTGTGACATCCCTATGAGGTGGAAATTATTGTTCAGTTTCTGCAGAGGAGCAAGTCAAGGCCCAGAGAGATCTGGTAACTTGTCTAACTTGTGCCACCAGCAGTCAGTGGTAGAACAGGGATTTGAACCCAGGCCATCTTAATACAAAAGAGGTGAGTGTCCTTTCTGTCCTCCCACTCTGCCAAGTATGAGAGGTGGGCCTGGAAAGGGTGATGCCACAGAAGGGACAGAGTATATGGAGATCTAGTTTCCAGTTAGGGCTCTGCCCCAAATTTAGAGTGACTCAAGAGTGACCCCCCCCAATATTGAGCAAACATCTAAGCGCCTACTGTGTGCCAGGCACTGGACTAAGTTCTCCAGGCTCTGGACCTCTGGAAAGGAGGGGCTTGAATTAGACAAAGTCCCTTCCTGCCCTGAAAGCCCAGTGGTCTCTGATAGTCCTTGCCTCTAACCCCTCTGTCTTTTAGGGAGGGATTTCCCTAGAGGGTAATGGGGCCCTGAGTGTGGGGAGACGTTACACTCCCCCTGGCCTCACCCCTTTTTTTTTTTGAGACAGAGTCTCTCTCTGTCACCCAGGCTGGAGTGCAGTGGGGCGATTTCAGCTCACTGCAACCTCTGCCTCCCGGGTTCAAGCGATTCTCCTGCTTCAGCCTCCCAAGTAGCTAGGACTACAGGCATGCACCACCACACCCAGCTAATTTTTGTATTTTTAGTAGAGATGGGGTTTCACTATATTGGCCAGGCTGGTCTCAAACTCCTGACCTCAAGTGATCCACCTGCCTCGGCCTCCCAAAGTGTTGGGATTACAGGCGTGAGTCACTGCACCCAACACCCCTCCGCACCTTTTTTTTTTTTTTTTTTAGATGGAGTCTCCCTCTTTTGCCCAGGCTGGAGTGCAGTGGCATGATCTTGGCTCACTGCAGTCTCTGCCTACTGGGTTCAAGCGATTCTCCTGCCTCCACCCCTTGAGGAGCTAGGATTACAAGTGTGTGCCACCATGCCTGGCTAATTTTTGTAATTTTAGTAGAGATGGTGTTTCACCATGTTGGCCAGGCTGGTCTCGAACTTCTGACCTCAAGTGATCCACCTGCCATGGCCTCCCAAAGAGCTGGGATTACAGGCATGAGCCACCACACCCAGCCACACTTTTGAGTGGGTTGAGCTACAGATGCAAGGAGGGTGGCTGGGGTTCATCACCATGAACGCTCTGCGTGATTTTGTCTTGGTCTCATAAACTCAAGGATCAGATGTGACTCATACTGTTTATTTAAGAAAATGAACACCCATTTCTGTAGAAACAGATCCCTGGCAAAATGTTGGCACTGAGATGCTAACATAAGAAGCGGGACACAGCCAACTTATGTCTCTCTGGACACCAGAATATGCTGTTCTCTGAGGCAGCAAAGCAGGGGTTCCCAAGAGTAGGCTCTGCAGCTGAATGACTCTGTGGTCCCTGGCACAAGGCCTGGCTCTGGGTAGGTGCTCAGGAACTGGACACTGAGTGACTGATCAGGCCCTGCCGACAGATAACAAAGAAAGGAAGGCTAAGGTGGGAGCGCTGGGCTGGGCACCTAGTTGAGGACAGAGAGGGTGCCGCAGGAATGATGAAGACTCTCTCCCTGACCAAAGTTTAGTTAGGCTCCCCCAAAGCCTCTTCTCCACTTGGCCTTGACCTTGGCCTTCTGTGTCTGTCCTGCCCTTGCCAGGCCTGCATCACCCAGTCTTAGCAAGAATCTTGCTAAGTCAGTTTAGACACCCTTGATATCTGATCACTCTGGCCTGCTGTCAGCAAGAATCCTGTTCAGTCGGTTTAGCAAGAATCCCCCTACCCTTGCTATCTCCTCTTAATACTTTTCCATCCACTGACCCCCTCACTCTGCTCCTTGGCTACAGATCCCTGGAAGTCTTTTCTGTAATCAGAGTTGAGTCCCATCTCTCTCCTCTATTGCAATGCGGTAGTCTTAAATTAAGTTTTCCTTACCGTTTTAACAAGTGTCAGAATAATATTTTTTCTTTAACGGGGGAATGTAAAGGTGCCAAACCAGACTCGATCCAAGTCACGAGGGCCCCCAACACTGGCCCTGAGGTGCTTCTTCCTCAAGTCAGAGAGAGGAAGCAACAGAAAAAGAGACTCGTGCCCCACCCCTCACTCCAACCCTTTCTGAGCTCAGAGGGGAGAGGTCAGAGGTGCCTTCCAGTGGAAGCTAGGATGCACATACCACAGAGGAGGACCAGCCAGGGGCAGCAGCCCCAGTGAGCCCGGGCCATAGGGTCTCCAGATGCAGGCGCTGGGTGGATGGAGGGACAAGGGAGAGAGGGAGGGCTCTTTCCCCGGCCTCTTCCTTCAGGCCTTTCCTGGGCGCGAGCAGACAAGGGGTGGGGGCTGGTGTCAAGAAGGAGGCGTCTGGCTGCTGGATGGAGAGTGCCTCTCTGGTCTTTTGTTTTGGAGGGCTCTGGGAGCCAGGGTGGGCAGTGGAGCTTTGGGCTGCCCGAGGCGGACTCTGCAAGTTCCTAGTTGTTTACGATAGGGTGTGAGGCTATCCTGGGCAGAGTCCAAAGATCTCAAGAGACAGAGGCACAACAGCTGGTCTCAATCAGCCTGCTTTTCCCAGCCCCCTCTCAGCAGCCGAGCCCCCACCATTCCTTAATTTGGTCCCCTCCCCTCCAGCAAGCTGATTCCCGTTAGCTCCCACACTCTGGGCTCTGGCTCCAGCACCTGCTTTTGCTGTGGGGACGGAGATTTGCCTCCTGCTGCTGCTCCTCCTCCTCCCCCCTCTTCCTCCTCCTCCTTTTCCTTCTCCTCCTCATTTTTCCTCCTTCCCCTCATTTTCTGTTTTCCTCCTCCTCTTCCTCTTCCTCCTTTTCCCTCTTTGTCCTCCTCCTTTTCTTTTTTCCTCCTCCTTCTCCATTTCCTCCTCATCCTCCTTTTTCCTCTTCCTCCCCCTCCTTTTTTGCCTCCCCCTCTTCCTCCAAGCTGGCTGGAAAAGCCAGTGTCCTCTCTTCTTGCAGTGCTTGGCAATTCCCACTGTACCCCTTGGGAAAGTTGGTTGTGACTGGAGAGTTACTTTCTTGAGCTGGGATGAGTCCCCCCAGGAGCGCCCACTCTGAGGAAGTGATGCCAGCTCTTCCCTTGGGATCTGGGGAGTCCCATTCCACTGCATTTTCTGAACCTGCACTCTGGGGAACCGAGGCTGTTAGAGTCACTCACACCTGGGAGGAAATGAAAGCCCAAAGATGCCCCTATCTGGAGGGTTCGAAGGATGCCACTGAAGAGGGAAGAAGACCCAGAAAGGGGAGTTTGGGCGCTCTGAGAAGACTAACTTGGTGAACTGGAAATGCTCTTTCTGCCATAGCTTCTAGAATAGCGATTTGGTTACCCCGAAGTGTCTCCCCACGAGGGAAGTGGAGAAGCTGAGGCCTGCCTTGTCTTCACGCCCAGCTGAATCAGAGGGCAGCATCAAGGCAGCTCCTAGTAAATGCTCTACAGAACCCTTGCTCTTTGGGCTCGAGGAAGGCGATGTCCCAGAGAGGAATGCTTTAGAGAGACAAACAGACCCAATGGGGTTGGGTGCTCACCTAGCCTGGAGGGCCCCAGAGGCAAACCGCCCATTCCTTTTGTTTCTATTTTTATTTTTGAAACAAGGTCTTATTCTGTTGCCCAGGGTGAGTGCAGTGGCATGTTCTCGGTTCACTGCAACCACAGGCTCCCGGGCTCAAGCAATTCTCCAGCGTCAGCTTCCCGAGTAGCTGGGACCCTAGGTGAGTGTCACCATGCCTGGCCACCATTCCTTTTGTTTCTATTTTTAATGGATTTACAGTCTGCTTATGTCCACATCAAGTTTAAAGCAACTTTCAACAATCCAAGAATGACAAAATAGGCCATTTTGAAGAGGGAAAGAGGACCTTCATGGGAGTCTTCGAAGGGGCAGAGTCAAAATGATTGAGGTGGCTCAGTGAACTTCATTCTCAGGAATAAAAGCAGAGGGCAGGAGCCCACAGCCTCAGAGGACAGACCAGGAACAAGGAGAACTTGAGAATGCTGTCATTCAATAACTGCTGAAGCTCCTGCAGCCTTTTCCCCAGGCTCCCCTCTCCCACCCCTTCCAGAGTTGGTAATGAAATTATTCCCAGAGACCAGAGCACTGGGAAATGCCCCCTCAAAGCCGCCTCCCCGCTCTGTTCACTGTAGTAGCCATCCTGAAGGGCAAGCAGGCAGAGCTGATGGGATTGTGCATGGGAAGACCTCTGAAGATAGCCTTTGAGGACAAACACAGTCCTGTTTTTCTGTCAGTGAATTGAGCCTTGAAACACTGACTTGGAAGCCATCTGCCTGAGTTTCAATCCCAGCTCTGGCACCCACTAGCTGTGTGATTGTGGACAAGTGACTTTATCTCCCTGAATCCCCAGTGTCCTCACCTGTGAAATGGAGTAATGATAGTACTAACTTTTTAGGGTTGTTATGAGGATTCAATGGGCTAATATTTGTGATGCTCTCAGAACATGCCTCGCGGAGACAAGAGTAAATGTTCTACAAATGTTCGTTAACTCACATACTAGAACTAAATAAAGCCAGTCTCATCTGTACTTTGTTCTTTCTCTCCCTGGCATCCAGCACTCCTGAAATGGCAGTTGTTATAGCAAAGATCAGCTGAGCTGAAGGGCCAATCCCTGAAGCAAACAAACTAAACAGGGATTTCACCCGCATCTTCTGGACTCTGCCCAGGGATGGTCCCCATGTAATACTCAGCCTTCTGGTTTCATACTTCTGGGTCCCAGCCTTAGCCCTGGTGGCAAAGATAACTTCACTTGCCTTCATCAGCTCCTTCCTTATCTCCCTATTTTGAAACCACTGTCTTTACTCTTATCAGTTGAGAGACTTCAACCCAAGTTGACAACAGGCTTGAAGTGGAAAGAAATGATTCAAGGTGGGGAGGGTTGAATGGCCGAGTCTTTGCATCAAAGTTGTTTGGAAGATGCATGCGTCACTAGAGTCTTGTTCTGACCTGCTCACGCAGTGGACTTCTGCTTGTTTTACTTTTTGGTCCAAGGCTAGCCTAAAAGCCAAATTCTGAAATCGGAGGTGATCTTCTCTAGAGTACCTCCTGTCTGTGCCTCTTATTTTGCATCCTGATGCCACCCCAGGCTTGTCACCCTGACTTACAACATGAGCCTGCCCTCTCTGGGCACCAAAGCCTCCTTGACTTCCATCAGAATACACCTTCCTGACTTACATGTTCTCTTGCCAGGTGACAACCACTAGGTGTCCTGAATCACAGATGAGGTCACAATAACAACTCATGTCATGAGTATGAATGAGAAAATGCATATAAAGTGATGAGGAAGCAGGAAGCTCTAGCACCAGGGATACAAACAGCTCTGCTGTGGGAGCCCCAGGGAAGGGTAGAACCTGGAGGAAGGCCAGAAATCAGAGAGGTGGAGTGAACCTTGGCAGTAGAGGTGCAGAGATGGCATTGCAGGAGGTGGTCACAGGGAAGGACAGCAGTCTAGGGGCAGATTGGCAGCAGTAACGTGAAAAGCAGCCTGAGGAAGCACAGGTGGACAGCGCTATGGCCTGGAATAGCTGGTGGCAACAGGGAAGTCAGAGACCCAAGGGGGATATGAGCCCTGCAGAGCATCCCCTGGGGATGTCCCAAGTTACTGAGGATGAAATCATGAAACGATACCTGAGGTTCTGCAGTTCTGCAGGTGGGAAGGAGACTTTTGAGCTAGCACATGCCCAGTCTAACTGTTCATGTGACCTCAGAGGCTGAGGGACTGGGGACGCTTGGCCTCGTGGGCACAGCATGTGATCTCTGCTTCCAAATTCCCTTTATAATCTCCCATCAGATTCCAGCATCTCATGCTGGGAGACAGGCAGGGTTCTCAGCAGGAGAAGAGAAGACAGACTTGGAGAAAAAAAGTGGCTTTGCCTAGGTCCAAGCTGACCTGTGGCAGAGCTGGGACTCAAACCTGGGTCTGGGGAACTTAAAAGCCCATGCTCTGTCCATTGGGCCTCATTGTCACCCCAATCTGAAGATCCTCCATGGCTCCCACTCCCTCAGGGTAGAATTCAATATCCTCAGCTCAGTGGCCAAGGCCTTCCTCCCTAACATTACCCATCTCTTCTTGTCCACATTCTCTCCATCCATCAAAGTCCAGCACAAAAGTCATCTTGTCTACCAAGCCCTCATCACCTCAAATTCATCTTGGAGACTTCCATAACATTTTATGGGAGCTTCTATTTTCAAAGACTCACACTGACCTTTTTCTTTCTCAACAACTCTTCTGTCTTAGGTCACCCATCCCCAAGGGCAGGAGCTTGCTTTTTATAAATGTTTAGATCCGGGACAGGTCCTGTCCAGGACAGAGCCCAGCAAAAAGCGGGCTCAACACAAGTTTGCGGAGTTGATGCCTTAACTCCAAAGTCCAAAATTCAAAGTCTCATCTGGAAACGAGTTCCTTCCACCTATGAGCCTGTAAAATAAAAAACAAGTTATTTACTTCCAAGATGCAATGGGGGGATAGGCATTGAGTAAACATTTTCATTCCAAAAGGGAGAAATTGGGCAAAATAAAGGGCTACAGGCCCCATGCAAGTTTGAAACCCAGCAGGGCAGTCTTTAAATGTCACAGCTCCAAAATAATCTCCTTCAACTCCATATCCCACATCCAGGCCACACTGACACAAGGGGTGGGCTCCCAAGGCCTTGGGCAGCTCTGCCCCGGTAGCTTTGCTGGGTTTGGCCCCTGTAGCTGCTCTCACAGTTGTTGAGTGTCTGTGGCTTTTCCAGGTGCAGGGTGCGAGCTGTTGGTAGATCTACCATTCTGAGGTTTGGAGGACTGGGGCCCCCTTCCCACAGCCCCACTAGGCAGTGCCCCCAGTGGAGACTACATGGGGGCTCCAACCCCACGTTTCCCCTCTGCACTGTCCTAGCAAAGGTTTTCCATGTGGGCTCTGCCCCTGTAGCAGGCTCTGCCTGAGCACCCAGGCTTTCCTATACATCTTCTGAAATCTAGTCAGAGGCTGCCAAGCCTCCTTCACTCTTGCACTCTGCACACCTACAGGCTTAATGCCACATAGAAGCTGCCAAGGCTTACAGCTTACACTTTCTGAAGCAGCAACCTGAGCTGTATCTGGGGACCTTTGAGCCAAGGCTGGAGCTAGAGTGGCTAGGATGCAAGAAGCAGTGTCCAGAGGCTGTACAGGGCAGCAGGGCCCTAGCCCTGGCCCATGAAACCATTTGGTCCTCCTTGGCCTCAGAGCCTGTGATGGGAGGGGTTGCCTCTTAGATCTCTGAAATGCCTTTTTTAGTTATGCAAATATCTCTAGCAAGTGGTTACCCCACAGCCTGCTTGAATTCATCCCCTGAAATTGGGCTTTTCTTTTCTACCACATAGTGAGGGTGCAAATTTTCCAAACTCTTACACTGTGCTTCCCATTTAAATAAAAGTTCCAACATTAAGTCATTCCTTTCCTCCCACACCTGAGCATAGATTGTTAGAAGCAGCCTGGTACCTCTTGAATGTTTTGCTGCTT